TAAGTTTTCCAAAGATTTTTATAAAATGGTTTTTTTGTGCAGAACAAGTAAAGATTTGAACATTATTTCCCAAATAGGCCATTTCTAATCTAAACAGGTGGTAGTAACTTTGGCGTCCATAACAGAATTTCCGACTGGTAGTAACTTTTGACTCAGTGGCTGCAGTTCCGACCAGTAGGAACTTTAGTCTTGAAGACTTGAGTTCCTACTGGTAGTAACTTTTGACTCAGTGGCTGCAGTTCCGACCAGTAGGAACTTTAGTCTTAAAGACTTAAGTTCCTACTGGTAGGAACTGTAGACAGTCCCTTTTAAATATTAAGTTTTGGAAAGTAAACGAAGTAGCTACAAGCGTCTCTTTATGTATTTTAAAAATAATAACAAGCCAAAATATGTAGAGTGGGCCGATTTTAATCCGTAACTACACAAAGAGAACAACTGTTTATAGCTTTGAATAAAAAAATAAATATAAAATATATAAATATTCAAAGGTTTATAGTGTAGCGAGAACCGCTATTAATCTCCGAATGTCTGTGGTGACTCATCTGTTGTTTACGGCGGGGGTTTACAACCCAAGCAACAATTTAAGTATTTGTTACGTATATGGGACTATTGAAGAAACTTTAAAGTGTTTTGCGACAGTCGCCGGTCTCTTTATATTACTCTTTCATTACTAGGTTACGACTAAAGTGGGGAACAATTATTGAGTTCCAAAAAGGTAGCAAATATGTCACTAGCTATAAACCCTGCTACTATTTGGAACGTAGCTGCTACGTTACTAGAACGTTCCAATATCGTTGCTAGAGCGTTATAATTACTTTTATTATTTGTTTTTACTTCTATATTAACTGTCTTTGTCAAACTTATATTAGATTATACTATCCCTCCTTTTTTTAAATGGAACCACTACGGACTTGGCTTTTCAATGTCGTCGTTTATTAAATATGTACTGGTAGTTTATAACTTCCAGAATAACAATATAATGTTTAATTAGACAGGTAAATTTATAAACCCTTTAAATTTTACTGTTGAACTTATGAATTTAGTTTTTGTAAAATAAATGCGCTTCATCAATATTTAAGTATAAACAAATTATTTATTTAGTAATTTTTATAAATAAAAAAATCTTAATATTTTTTTATTTATTTAATTATTAATACCGTCTATTACCAACAAAGTTACTATTTATTAAAAAGTAAACAACCATTTACAAACAATTAAAATAATTTATTATTTACATTACCACGTGGTACTGTACAGTAAAAAATGGCCGATAAGAAGCATTTTCCTTTGAAGTAGTTTTCGCTACTTTAAAGTTTTTTCCACTTTACGGTTGTTTTGGTTAGTACCATAAACGTTCCAAATACTAAAATAATAACTTTTAAGTTATTAACTTTGTAGTTTTTAACTCATGTTCCAGTTTCGAGATTTTAACTTGCAAAGGGACTACAAAGTAAAAATAATTATAATGTAATCTTTAGGTAGCAACCGAAAGTAACTGCTACAAATTAAATTTACATTAAAGTTTTTTTTACTTATAACACCTTTTTTAAAGTTGCAAAGTCTTCTTGGGGGCAACCAAGTTTTACTTAAATCATTTAAGTTAAATGTTTATTACTTTATAGTAACCATTTAAGGAAAAATTAAGTTTCTGTTACAAAATATTGCTATTTAAAAGTTAGAGTTACTTTTAAGTAAAAATTAAAGTAGCCGTTTAGTATAATTAACTAATTTAAAGTTATCACCACTTTGGCAATGGTTTTTGGAACCAAAAATGCTGCTTGGGAAACGATCGAGAGCGGTGTGGAACGTACTGGAAGCTGCCGGAAGGTGCTTGCCTGAAGTAGGCCTTGGATAAATAAGGCATATCGGAGGGTCGAGGAATTAGTTAAGCTTTGGCACTGGCGACGAAATAAATCAAATATACTTGGAAATAAATAGACTTTTGTACAATAGTAATTAGTTTTATAGTGTTTTTATTGTAAATAAGTTATACAAACGTATAATACGCCATCGTATTTTATTCACACTGTCGAACCACGAAAACGTTACAATAATAATCAGGGGCGGACCGTTGACTTTGGGGGCCCTGGGCTAAAAATCTTTGTGGGCCTATCTATAATTATATATGTACACACAACAAAACAACAAATTTCAAATTCAAAATTAAAAAACAAGAAAAAAATTACACTTAGTTTGTATAAAATTAATGAATAACAAATAAACCCTTCTAGCATTTATAAAAGGTGTCGGGATAAGACCTGTACAATGCAATTCTTGGTTTAAAATATTTCGACTTAACCCAACTCACCCAAATAAAATTTGCTTTGTTTAGCTGCTAGCTGCGTTTATAATATGTAAAAAAGATTATTTTATATTGCAGTATCGACTATTTCTTTTCTATAAAATTTAATAGCCTCATAAGCCTGTTAAAATATCACCTATTAATATTATTGGTTGCTATTTGCGATTTTACATTTAAAGTAAGTAGGTATATGAGATTTTTTTATTTTAGAGTTATTTTACTCGTTAACGGATTAATGGATGATTAGAACTTTTATTTTATAAAACTAAAGGCTCCACAATAAAGTTTACGTATTATTTTATGATAAATATACTCGTTAAAAAAATATTTAGGACAAATTCATAGCAAATTTTATGTTTTTCTTACTTTCCCGGAAAAAATATCAGACTTGTCACAAAATGTTGACAATGATCATACATTTTTTGTAGATCATTTTATTTTTTATAAAAATATGTAATTATTTTTTTAATGGTTTAACCAGTTTAAATACAAATATTTTTTTGCGATAAAATTGATAAATTTTTTTAAATTAATTAGTATTTAAACAGAAATATTAATTTGGTTTAAAAAATTACACATTTTTCTGACAAATTAAATGATCTAACAAAGTCCTATAACGTTTTATTATTAGTCTGATAGTTTTAGCGGAGAAGTAAGAAAAACTTTAAAATTATCATAATTTTTAGCTTAAATAATTTGAACAGGTAGATTTATTAAAAATAATAAGATACCTTCAGGGCCATATTACCCATTAGGCAGGCAAGGCAATTGCCTTAGGCGCCACGTAGAAATAGGCGCCCTGTCCCCAAGCAACTTAAAAAAAATAAAAATTGTTACCAAAATGTTTATTTTTTCCAAAAATAAAACAAATAAACAATATACAATAATTGTATATTGTTATACAATTATTGTAATAACAGAATATTATTTACGGTTTTTATTATAACGCCGACAAAAAAGCGTTCCGCAAATTCACTTCTGTTTTTATGTCAAATACACAAATGTATTTCAGATAAAATTAATCAGGTGTTATATCACCATGCTTGATTACGAGGGCACTGCGTTTTGAAGTAGAATAAGATATTTTATTATTAACTGTATAATTAACAAATAATAATAAACCTTAACGTTAAACTGCAAACAAAAACTTAAATGATAATTTAATTTGTAAACTTTACCCTGCATAAACATATCTTTAGACTGTTTCAAAACCCCCGTATGCTCCAAGCACACGGATTCCTCTTGCATCGGGTACCCGCTGTGATGTGCTGCTCACCCCAGCGGGTACGCGATACTAGAGGAAACTGCTGCCGGAAGGACTTGGGTGTTTTCGCGTTTATTCAAGAGTGGCACTTCTATGTGTTGTGTGTTTGGTGATAGCAGTCTGTGTTCGATAGTTAAGGTTGATTTAGCCTGGCTTTTAAATTAAATTACGTTACGTTATATTACGTTACACAAAATGCTGGCTAAATCCACATTTAGATAGTGTTAATTTTTCTGTTTGTTTTAAGGTATTTCTGAAATTTTAATATTAAACTAATTACAATAACCCAGCAGTACATCTAACATACAAATACAGAAAATTACTAATGACATCTTGCAGAAAAACGCACTTATAAGTCCTAACTCTTTTTATTTACATTATATTTGTTATGTTTGTATGTTATTTATGTTTTTATGTATTTTTTTAATGATAAAAAGTATTCTAATTCATAGGGAATAATTAGGTTATAATGCTCGGGCGCCCTTAAGCTAACAGTTTGGGGTGGCTCTAATAAGCTTTTTTAAAATTTGCCCCGGGCCCCGTAAGTATAGTATCTAGTTAGAGGAGCCAAATTTTTAAGTGCCTAAGGCGCTCAATTGCCTTAAGCCGGCTCTGGATACCTTTTTGTTGAGCGTTTACTTTAAATAATCCATAAGAATAATATTTTTAATTTTAATTAATTAATTAACTTTTAATTTCATTAATTCGTTCAAAAGATATATTATTTCCAAAGTTATTTTTTTTCATGCTTTTTAAATCAAAAATAGAAAATCGCGATGACGGGCCTCTTAATAGTAATATTAAGATCTTAAATTTTAACAGGCTTAATATTTTACCTTTATGCAACTATTAAATAGGCGATTTTTTAATCAGTCTAATTTATATATTTTTAATTTTCATCGCGTTGTGGGGCCTCGATCGGACGGGGCCCTGGGCTGCAGCCCATAATGCCCATGCCTAAATCCGCCCATGATAGTAATGATGACTGTATCAAGTAAACTGGGGACAGCTTGGGATTTTGAGAAATGGGGAATCATCACTAATCATAACAAAATGCCCAAGCTATCCCCAATTTACTTGATTTTTTATAATCATTACTAAACAGTTTTCTCGGCGTAGTTACGGATTAAAATCGGTATACCTATAGGTAGGTATATCGCGCGGTATACTGCGCAAAATCAGGATATACATTTTTTTTGAGTTAATAACTCTTTTGTAACATTATTTTTGGATGTTATTTACATTTTAATTCTATTTCTAATCATTTAAGCAAATACAGGATTTTCTTTTCCCCGTTATCGAAAAAAAAACACCGGGACCTTACTAGTAAGTACCTATATGATACAATGTATAACTATGTCATTACAAGTATGCATTTATAAAGGAAAATTGAAGGGAATGTGATACTTATATAACTATAGGTATGTATTTATTGAAAAATGTTCCTTACAATTAGATTTTTATTTACAATTTAGATATTTGGTATAAATACCATTATTTGTATCAAATATCTTGAACACATACAGAAGAAGTAAGCGGCAAATTTATACCTATATTTTTAATAGATGTCCTTAATTCTCCATGTATGTGTATAAATTAATTTAAAAATACACCAATGCGTATTCAAAACTAAAAATATCATGCAAAACTAAAATATAAGTTACTAAAATAAATTCTTATGTTATGAACTGAATAGAATCACCTAGGTATTTAACAATTGTCTTTGTCTATAAGGACTAAATTAATACTGTTTTCTTATAAAATGATTATATATATTTAAATTAAGATATTGGCAACTAATTTTCCGTAAAAATCACATACAATAAGGCCAGAACACGCAAAAAATGTTTTTTCATTCACACACAAGCACTTAAGTCCCTTAATTAATGCATCCCTTGTGATTCATGTAACCGTTAAATTGACTCTGGGCCAAAACCTTCTCCAGCGCCGTCCTGCGCATGCGCGTGCATGTTGCCAGCAGAGCGCCCCCTAGGAGGCACATGGCGCCACCGCCTAGGGCCAACAGGGCCGAAAACCAGCCTGTTTTTAAGCAGACGCTGTTGGACTCCAATTTTGAGGATGCTGAAATTAAAGTTTATTAGTTTTTTTTGTGATTTTACTAAGGATTTTTTTACTTGTGGTTGAGTTTGTATCCTCTTCTATTTCTCCTTCCTGTAGAACTCTTATGGATTGGAACAAGTTTATATTTTCAGATAGAGGTGCTGGGTTTGATGTTACTGTGTCATTGGGAATGGACCTTTTTCTTACTGTTTTTACGTTTCTCCAGTGGCATGGTTGGCTCTATTAATATTAAAAACAAACAAATGAATATGCATTTCCCTTAATTAATTCATCCAGCAAGGAACAACCCTTTTTGCACATGAACGAACATAAAGAATTGGAATTAAGTGGCTTCAAACCCAATTTTTTTATCAGTAATTACTGATAAACTTAAGTTGATTTAAACCTACCTAAGTATATGTGGCTAAAATTAAGATTATTAGTATATTGACTATAGTGGGAGAGAGGCGATTCCTTGAACTTGAAGTTTGTCACACGCTAGTGACCAATAGTCGCACACAATATTTTATTCAACTTCCATAAGAAATTTAAAGCCAATTGTATTTGATACTTTATCTGACATGATGTCAGATGTCAGTGACATCTGACATCTGACCATAGACAAAAATAACCATTAAGATAATATTATATCCTTATATTTGTAAGGCAAGTGGTTAAGTTACTTAACTACAGTATCTAGTTTTGCTTTCCCTGTTTAATAACCATTGGTTACCATATACCCAGACTGCAATGAAAGTTCTAAAATATTCCATGAATATGCCCTATTGCCTAGGAATAATCCGCTTCATTCTAGGAATATTCATTTGGAATATTTCATAGAATGAACCTCTAAAACTTCCAAACACCATCTAAGAACATTTCTAGTGAATATTCATTAGTTTAGTTGAAATACCTGAATATATACATATACAATACATATATATGTATAATGTACAAATGTTAACAGCCGGCAAGATTTTCTTTTGCATAATACAATGGCATAGGTGTTTCCTGATCATTATTAATTAATAAAAAGCGTCTTTTAATTAGGGAGCTAGACACCAGCACGGTTAATCATGAAAATTACACGTAAACAATAAAAATGCTAGATAATTGTAATAATTTTGTAATGAACAAACCATTGAAAATCATGTGAAGAGGAAATAAAGTCACTATGCAATAAACATTATTAATTTTAGTAATATATATTTTTTATTACTTTTCTGTACGACCGCATACATTTAAACATTAATTTACGTAGAATGTTATTATTTTTATATGGACTCTGTAAATCCAATTTTTGTAATATTATTTTAATTTATAATGTTCCTAATAATAAACCTAAGAGTAAAATTTAAAAAATGATTAGTCAAAAATGACTAATTGCCATAGCCAAAGAGCAGCCATGGCTGCTGAGTGCCCTAATAATTCTCGTCAATAACAATTTGTATCCCAAACATTTAGCAGTCAGTTTCCATGTAAAATTGTCCCCTGAATCCGAAAATGTCGTCAAAAGTTAGAAAACAGTTTTTGAGGGGTGACATTCACAATATCGAAATTCATTATATCGAATTCAAAATATCGAACACTTTTTATCGAAAATCAAAATATCGAAAATACAAAATGTCGAAGATCAAAATATCGAAAATTCAAAATGTCGAAAATGATAAAATCGAAAATTAAAATGTCGATTTGAAAATGTCGAATAATTAAAGGTAGTGTCTCCCCGACCGTCGGACGGACGTAGAAAAGTGTGTGCTCGACCGTCGGACGGACGTAGAAATGTGTGTGCTCAACCGTCGCATATTTTAACCTCATTTTCAACTAGAGGCTAAATGTAGCAAAGTATTCCTCAAGGTTATGACGAATAGCTGTCATTTTCATTATGCAGGTACACTGCATTGTGCCATACCAAACTAACCCAAACTTAACAACCCAACCCAACCGACCCCGCCCCATTGGGCCCCTCCCGCCCCATTGTCACAATCCAGCCTGCCCTTAGATATATTATACCTCTATTGCTCAATGGGGCGGGAGGGGCCCAATGGGGCGGGGTCGGTTGGGTTGGGTTGTTAAGTTTGGGTTGGTTTGGTATGGCACAATGCAGTGTACCTGCATAACCAACAGGGCCGGATTAAGACAATTTGTCGCCCTAGGCCAATAATAATGGCGCCTATAATTACAGCCCATATAATATAGGTACTAATATGGGCCATATTAGTACCTATGGTACACATAATAAAATCTAACATAGTACCAAGAACAGCGCTGCGCGCGCAGTCATTGAATGCATTAAAATTGAAGCAATCTAAATTGTTAATTGCTCAATTAATTACTATTAAACAAAAATAGGGAAACATTTTGCCTAAATGTCAAAGAATTTATTGCGTTAAATGTATACATAGTATACATACTATAGTAACGTTATTAAATAAATCAAATTAGTAGTTAATGCAAAATAAATATCAATATAAATATCAAATGATTTAGGAGGGATAACTTTTGTTGTTAATTTAAAAACAGTAAACGATTATAAACCAAGTGCTAACTATCTATTGGTATTATAAAAACTGTTATTCAGGAATACGGATTACAAGATCCCATTGGTTTAATGGTTTTGCAGAAAGGCGTTCAAGTGACACGATCTTTTGCATTATCAACGACGATTTACAATTTTCCTGCATTTAATATCGGAAAAGGACTTAATAATATTTTCAAAATTTATTTATTGACTTCTTCTGCTAAAAAAGGGTATTACACGTTTGATAATTATAATTATTTATTTTAATTGATTAATTTTAATATTTAACCTACTTTTACAAAATTTAGCCTTCTGGGCGCCTATTGGCTTCGCGGCGCCCTAGGCCATGGCCTAGGTTGGCCTATTGGTTAATTCAGCACTGATAACCAAGATGACAGCTATTCGTCATAACCTGTATGACAGCGGTCGAGATTTTATTTTCGATAAATTGAAAATTCGAATAAATAAAATTTCGATATTTTCATTTCGACATTTTGAATTTTCGATATTTTGATTTTCGACATTTTGTATTTTCGATATTTTGATTTTCTATAAAAAGTGTTCGATATTTTGAATTCGATATAATGAATTTCGATATTGTGAATGTCACCCGTTTTTGAGATATAGTTAATTTTCCATATAATATGGAATTGACTATATCTCAAAAACTGCTCTACTTTCATAATTTTTGATAGTATTTTCAAATTCAGGGGACAATTTTACATAAGAATTGGTTGTTAAATGTTAAGGATACCATGGTAACCACGGTATAAGTGAAAAAGCAGCCACTAATGACTGTAGTAACTAGTCATTTTTGACTAATTCATTTTTAGAGAGTACATGACCAAATCAAAATATATTGTCTAGAAATAATGAAATAATTATTTATTTATAGTAGAACAAAAATTTTTAGTGCCACAGTATTATTTCAAAATGTAAATTTGTAAAAAAAAGTTGTGGAGGTGTCGGATATGGATGCCGGTACTACACTGTTATAAAAATCAGATTTGTTAACATGAGTTTGTAGTTTGTTAATTTTATTTTGTAATATTTTAACATAATTTTTTGTAGAAAACCAGGATTTGTAATTATTTTAACTTTAAAGGAAAATATTTTATCGAAAGTTTTGTAAATGTTATATGCAATTTTGTAAGCATTTTATTAATTTCAAAGGCACAGATTATTTACCACTGACAATACTCATCAACAAGTTCAACTGACTTCAGCGTCTGCAACTTATGTTTCTGCTTACTTTATTTTTATTCGTAACGAGTTTGTAACAACTGTCCATAGTGTTTATAATATATTACAAGAAATCTGTTATTATTGTTATTCAGATTCATTAGTGTGCGAAGTGCAAAGTATCCCAAAAAAGATGCCATCACTGGTTTTAAACTGAAATTAGGGGATACAGTGAAGTGGGTTAAAGTTATGAAATACATGAATAAGTGTTAGTAGTACTGATAATTATATTGTACCAAATTACTTTAACATTTGATGAATTCACAATTGTGTGTATGTTATTTTTGTGTTAATTTATGTAGGTATGTGTTAATTTTTTTATTAAGTTTAATAAAGCAACATTTCTTATCCACATTATTTTCATTTAAGTTCCCAATTTCCAAAAAATACTTTTGTTAATGGGTCTACAAAAAGATTTGTAAAAATAGGGCCCTTTACAAGAATTATGGTTGAGTTAATGATATAGGATTTTGTTACTAAATCTACAAAATGTTTGTTATAATTACAAACTACTTATGCAATTAGTTAACAGATTACAGTTGGTTGTAAACTAGATTAACATAAAATCTGGCTAATATTTGGTTAAAATTTACAATAATTTTTTTACTGTGTATGTTAGTAATTAGACTTTTTATAATTTTACTTACTGGGCATCTTCCATGACACATTCGGACATCGCATTCAATATACAGAGCTGGTGATCCGGTGAATCTGAAAGTTTTCATGTACGCAAAAACTTGTGTTTCGTAGATTCCTGATTCGGACCAGGATCCTCTGAATCTGGATATCAATTTATCGTCCACAGGACATCCGTATTCGTCTATTAGTTGGATTTTTTTCGTTGCACCGTTATGAGCATAGCAATCGTTTACCACGATGTCAAAACCATCTGAAAATTGAGGCTGAAATAAGATATTTTGGTTTGTTTTTTTGTCTTTTTTTACCGTATTTGCTTCTCATGTAAATAATTAGGGTCAATGGGTCTCCTACTCGTACAGGCCCAGTAACCCTGTTGCCATTAGTGCCGTATCCATATCTTATTTCCATATAACACTCTGGAGGGGTTAAGGTAAACACTACAGGGTTTCCAGTGGCAACCCTAGGTAAAAATAATTTAAGTCTGTATATCTATAACGTTTTTTGATGGGAAGAAGAGTCTAAGCAATATAGATTTTCTGGGGATAAGGCAAAAATTCAACACCCTGTAAAATTAATATACTTACTCTACATCCAAAAAAGGAAAAGTGACGGTTTTCCAAAAATCGTAACCATATTCGCAAGTAACTTTAAAATGTTCATCAAATTCTTCTTCTATCAGGGGGTTGTACTGCACTGTGACGGTGTTCCACATGAAGTTTTTCTGTAAATTTCAATAAAACATAATTTTTGGAATAGTACAAAAAGTTTTGGCCGAGCAGGGAGATTTACGTTCAGCAATTTTATCAAAATCCGTTCAGCCGTAATTTTTTTTCAAAAATGGCGAATGCGCAGGGATTATAACTGATTTTGCTTCCCAATTTCCCCCTAAAATTTTAGCCTTTTAGGTCATCAGTAAGGACATGTGTTATGATTATTAATCCATTAGATATATATATTTGGATGGAATTTAAAAAAATCCCTTTTTAGCGGTAATGACATGGTCATTATGGAATGTAGGTACTGTCAAAATTGTGGCCCTTTAACTTAGTGACCAGATTCTGTCAAAAAAATCGGGACATTTTGTATGAATTCACCTTAGTTACAAAATTGACACAATGATATAATGCAAATTGTAAATTTGACGTTACTTAATTATTGTTGATTGTGTCATTAAGGTTAATTTACACAAAATGTCCCCATTTTTTTGACAGAATCTGGTCACTTTAGCTTTAAGCCCAGTAAGGACATGTATACATGTCATTATAATTATATCTGTATATGTATATAAATTGAAAAAATTAATGCTTATTAATTCATTAGAAATAATCATTTTTTATTAGTCTAAATAAGTGTTTTTTATTTGGACCTTACAAGCGTCTAAAAAATATGTATTAGTTGAAATAAACTAAAATTTAGTAACGGTTATTAGGGATCATAACTTTAAAACTTTTTTCTACTCCCACCTTTTAAACGCCCATTATCGTACTTGTTACCATGACACTAAGGGCTGGTTTATTAATATCTATTTAAAGTTGCAGTTAGTTATCTGGCAGATAATCTCCATGGATACCATTGTTCTCACAACTATGGATATGGAATTTAACGGTCAGATAGACTAACTGGAACTTAACCAGAGATTGATAAACCTTTTAAAAACACATTGACAAGTTGTGGCTTTATGGCCGGCTGAAGTTAGCAACAGGTTTTTAGTCACGGGCTGAAGTTGTCAAATGTAATACAATCGTTAAAATAAAGTGCCCTTCTTTTAAAATAATACTAAATGTAAAAATTATTTTATTTTCTCAATCCAAAAGTATTAAATAGTTTTTCAACACCAATTGAAAAATTTATATGATTTACATAATTTCGCCGGCAGTAAAGTAGATTTAACTTGATTTTGGGTGGAGACTCTACCATAAAACATTTTATTTACTTTCACTGTTGAAAATTGCTTAATTTATATCGGATTAAACGGTTCATTTTCAAGGGATACATTTCGATTTACACATAAAAATTTGACAATTTCACCGCCGCGGCGGCGCGGTAGTACAGATTCCCAATATTCAGGGCCGGATTAAGAGTTTTGAGGCCCTGGGGCCGACATTTGGTGGGGGCCCTCAATATTTCTAAAAAAATTGACACTTTGAAACTCATGGTAAATTTTTAAGCTAGAGGAACTTTACGTGATTTTTTGAATCATTTATTATTTAATAAACCATATAAAATTTTAATAAAATCGGCCAAAGCGTTTTTAAGCTATAAATAAAAAACTAATTTTTTTTAAACGAAAAACCCCTGTATCTCGATAATGAAGCATTTTCGGACACGTATACGTGTCTATAGATAGTAGAATAGAATTGTGAATGAAAGTGTTTTTATATACCTACTTTATATTTTATATATTTTGAATAATACGAACATAACCTTATATATATTTTACTCAAGTAAAATATAAATTGATCTATGTTTTGTTTGTATTTTTAATACTTACCGCAAACTGAAAAAAAGTGCATCAAAAGTCGTATTATTTGTCTGTTTTTCATACAAAATCATCAATAATAAAACAATCTTTTGTCCAAAGAAAAGCACGAAACATTATTTCGGAAACACCGGAAAATATTCCACAACACTCCAATGTACCAATAAAAATCTGGGACAAAAACTAACTTTAATATTAGATTATAAGTAATTGAATGAATTTACAAAAACGTTACGAAAAGCACTAAAGGAGCAATTGTTTTGAGTCATAACTTATGACTATAGACTACATAAAACGTGTTCGCGCGCCAAAACTTTGAGTGTGATAGTTTACATCCTGATTTGCAAACGGATAAGCGATAAAAAATCCGCGAAAAATTAGAGTTAAGTCTACGAAAAATTAATTGAAAATTACAGAATTCGCGCGGTATAACCGACCCAATTTTTGTTTTTTTCGCTAATTTTTTTCATATACGTTTCATTAAAAAGCTACATATTGCATTGGTGGGGGCCCCTAAATGGTGGGGGCCCTGGGGCCGTGGCCCCGCTGGCCCCGTCCTAAATCCGGCCCTGCCAATATTTAATTAAAGTATTTGTCATAGAAAAAGAATAGTATGCAACTCGTTTATAGACTTTTCTAGAAATCTTATTTAATTAAGCACTGCCTAAATTAGATTGGTGTTTAAAATGGTGTTTATCAAACTTCTCTCTTAAAATGAAATAGTAAATTATTCTACTCATTGAAGAAGTACCAGCATTGTTTACTAATAAAATAGTCGTTTTCAATTTTAAATAGTTATTTTTTACTACTTTAAGTAGTTAAAGTTTGACTTATTTAAGTTAAGTCACCTTCTTTGACTGTTTCTAAGAGTAAAAAGTAACTTATTTCTTTATTCGTTTTTAATTCTTGCGGCCAACAAAATGTATATACAATGTAAAAAAATTAAAATTAAAATTAACACAACTTTACACGCCCCATCACCAAACACAAATCGTGTAAAATTTTAACATCAGATGGTTGATTTTTTTTTATATCGTATAATAATTTAACCGAAGAATAATTAAACTTTAACACAATGTTTGTGTAATTTAATACCAGTTGGTGTTATTGTTTAATATTTTAGCGTGTTAAATTAACACTAAATTGGGAAGAAAAATAAAAATTACGTTTAAAAAATACTTTATAATTTCAATTAGATATAATATTATATTACAATATATTTATACAAAATTATTAAAATCATTAAAAAAAGCACTTATTGTAGAGTTATAATATTGTGGAGTTAACAACTCTGTGGGTAAAAGGCATAAGGGGATAAGTCAAAAAAAGCAATTTTTCAGTAGAGCCTTAAACGTATTCGCATTAATTCAGGAAACCTTTTGTTAGCACATGTAATATGCTAACAAAAGCGTATACCCGCTAAACATAAATATATTTCCTGAATTAATGCGAACACGTTTGAGTCTCTATCGAAAAATTGCTTTTTTTGACTTATCCCCTTATGCCTTTTACCCACTGAACTGTTCTGAGTTAAAAACAAGTACTGCCCTGCGCATCTACAACATAAAGTAATGAAGGAAACAAGATCATTTTAATTGTTTAAAACTTACTTACCTAAAGAAGATAAAATTTCATGTGTTACTGGCAAATTTGCCATTACCCACTATGTTTTCTGAAGTCAAAGTTTAAATTTCATATTATAAAGGGGTAAGAAGCAAAAGGGGACAAGTGCAAAAAAGAGAAGTGGAGTTATTAACTTTTAAAGTTTTTGCTATATACAAAAATCTGGATACTTGTATTGTTGTGTGCATTAATTAACATGCAGAACCCGTACAATTTTCTCGATATGAGAAAATTAAAAAAAATGGACTGCACTTAACTTATTTTCATGCTAAAATGCACTTGTACCCTTTTGCTTTTTACCCCTTCATATGTATATGGATGCGTTTATTAAAGTTGTATCACAAAATAATCTTTTATAAGAAAAACACCAGTACAGTATATCTATAAACGCACAAAAGGCAAGACAAGCATAAAATAAAGGGTGGGGCAAATTTTACACGATATTTGTTAAAATTTACACAACTTTGTGTAAGGTAACACGATATTTATTAAATATGAGTTTATAACACATTAACGTGTAATTAACAAGTGGTTTAGGAACATTCGTGTAAAAGTATTCACAAGATTTTTACACAAAATTTACACAAAAATTTTAACACAAAAAAAGAGAATTTACACACTAATATTTTTTGCAGTGTAGGCTCCATGGTTAAATGTCCTTAAAAACAAAGATGCAAAAAGGTTAGCTCAAAACACAAATAAAACTAATTATTATGAAAGTAACAGTATACTCTATAGAGCACCGGTTTGACATCCGCTTGAAGCGGGTCAACACTTTTTTAAATTTAAATATACTAATTTAACAATTTAATTCAGAAGAATTTGACTAATTATTTTTTACTGCTTTTTCGCTATGACAATAAGTCAAATATAAGTTATAAATAATTAATAATTGTTTTTATTTTAGAATCCTCTTAAAAAAATGTATTTAATTTTTAACATTAAAATTACCTAAATAACATTCGATTTTAAAAACCCTTTAAAAATCTCGATGAAAATCTATTTTTTTACTCAAAATACCCCCTTCATTACGTAGTAAAAATTCGAAACGCAGAACTCTTCTATATTTTATATATATATTTATTAATTTAATATGTTATTAATTTGATATGTAAAGAATCATGAAGAATTTTTACACAACTGATAATAAAATCGCAAGTTTTAATTGCAGTTGATGAGCATCTCAAGATCTCTGTAATTCCAATCACAGTTATGGTTTTTTCACTTAATTACTAACAACGAAGATGAGATCTCATGTTCCTCTATAATTTTTGCGAACAAGATCATTCCTACCTATGGATCTTCTTCTATTAAAGTGAGTAATAGTATATTACGATACAAAGTCGGTTAGTGTTTTTTACCGAGCAAGTAAATTTGCAAATTGATTTGTATTCAAATAATTCAGGAACATTTATATTTGGTAATAATTTCTAAAAACATTTTTATTAAAACTTGTTTTTCTACAGATATCTTATAAAATTGTCCGTTCTCCACCTGTCGATAAGAACTTTAAACACCGTAAAGTGAATAGTTATTATTATATTGATACAAAATAAGTATATTGTGTATCAAGATGGATAAACGCTATTTTAGTCACGAGCGAGCTTGCGAACGAGTGCTTAATTAAATTAGTGACTAGAAAAGTTTATTAACGAGTTGCATACTATACTTTTTCTACTACAAATACTTAATGTTATCTAAAAAATATTTGTATAAAGGGACATCTATACGAAAATAAAGTAACCATATGGGATATCCCAATAAACATTTTTGACGTAATTTTCACCATTAACATTGCACGTTATTATTTTAATTAAACTTAACAGTTACTTAATTTAAAATATTAAAATAACTTCAAAATATGATTATGTTAAGAAAATATGTTATCCTAGTATGTTTTTATTACTATAGTATCAATAATTGTTAAGTTTAATTAAAATAATAACAGGCAATGTTAATGGTGAAAATTACGTCAAAAATGTTTATTGAGGTGGTTAGGTACTATATTTTCGTATAGATGTCGCTATTATAATTGCAAAATGTTATCACAAAGTATTGCAAAATATTATCAGTATCAGTATCAGTATCAGTATTAAAAACTCTTACAAGGGAAATGTTAAAGGTACAGTTGTATTTATTGGAATTCCCGTAAGAATTTCTAACTTGGGAATCTACCAGCATTAAAATCTTAAATTTTTCTGTGTAAATCAAATTTATCAATTATCCCTTGAAAGTAGACTAACAATCGATATACAAGGTGTCCCTAAACTTATTGGCATAAATTTAGGAAAAGATTAAGTCAAAATAAGACGAAAACCCAAATAAATATTTTTCCTAATTACTTATGTTTCCAAGATACAGGGTGATAAAGTGTCACTTATCATATCAGTTTTTTTAATATAAACTCTACTATGGTAGTCTTGGAAAGTTGATATTTTGCGAACAGTCACTTACTACCAAAACACATATTCACACATAATTATAATTGTTAGAGTGAACAGTGTTTCTACGACACTGTGTTCACTGAACACAGTGTCGTAGAAACGATAAAATAAACCGTTTTCGAGATATTCGAGATTACAATAATTGTTACATCGCATTATTTAAAAGGTTTAAAAGGTATTTGATAACAAATTTTATTTTTTAATTGAAAAAACTAAAAAGAGCATTCCACGAGCCTCGGGACTTTTTGCCTTGACAGTCACATTAAAAAAATTGTAGGTTTTTCAATTAAAATATTTGTTATCATATACCTACCTTCTAGTCAATTAATGCGATATAACAATTATTGTAATCTTGAATATCTCGGAAACGGTTTATTTTATCGAAGTTTGAGAGGTACACCTTTTTAATAGTAGCCGAACTGAGTAATCGAAAAATTGCATCAAATGGTATAAAAACCTAACCTCAAAGTTTGTATAGGACAATAAGCTTAAGCAACCCCTGTTTCTACGTCACTGTGTTCACTCGAACAATTGTAATTATGTGTGAATATGTGTTTTGGTAGTAAGTGACTGTTCGCAAAATATCACCTTTCCAAGTCTACCATAGTAGAAGTTATATTAAAAAACTGATATGATAAGTAACTCTCTAAAAGTGAAATAGTGAAATTTTCACTATTTCCGTCAGTGAGTTATTAATCACTGTAAAATTAGTGTTTTTCAATATAAATTAGTGAAATTTTAACTTCTCCAAATTAGTGTTTTTTATTTTCACTACTTTTCCGGAACTCTCGACATAAAATAGTGAAATTTTAACTTTTTTGAACTTAGTTATCATAACTACCAAACCTATTTCACTAATTTGTACAGTGTAATTTCCACTAAATAAATTAGTGCAAAGAAATCGCTACATGAAAAAGTGAGTATTTACTAATTGCTAGTGGTATACTTATCACTGCGGCAAATAGTTAATATGCACTGTCAATCAGTGAAAATCCACTGTTTCATTTTTAGAGAGAACACTTTATCACCCGGTATCTTTTAAACATATGTAATTAGTAAAAATATTTATTTAGATTTTCGTCTTATTTTGACTTGCTTAATCTGCTCCTAAATTTATGCCATCTAATGCATGAGTACAATTTACATTTATAGGATTATAATCCTATAGGTACTACTGTTTATTGGGAAACCCGGAAAAGCTCAACCCAGGATTTCCTCTTAAAAAACACTCAACAAATCGTTCCACGTTTTTTTATCTCAATATTTTTAACATTTTTCGGCCTTATTTTTACGCGTTCGACAGCTGATTATTAAAAGATTATATTTTATTCTTTGAAACTTATTAAGAAAATCCCGGGATTGGGACTTTTTATCCCGATATTTTCGGGATCGGTTTTTCCACTGGATTCCGGGATCCTGAGATTGACACCCCTAACCCACATCAACAAAAATTACGATTGTGTAAACAAAATTAATTACTTACTGTGGGAGACTTCCTGTTATCCTCGTTGTGCGTATTTTTTCCCAATGTTCCGCATCTGTTCAGCTGGATGTAGAACTCGTAGTAATCGCGGCCCGATCCGTTTATGTACATGCAATCGGGATCGTATGCGTAACCTGGAATTATTGCATAATTAAATAAACTAGAAGAGGAAAAATTTAAATTTTGCGCTCGATTGGCCGTGTAATCGCGCACGATTACCCAGATCATAGTTGGCGATTAGTCAGTTCTTTTTTTGCATTACTAATGTTGCTTGATGATTTGATGGTCGATTGATTGGCCCTATTCTTTTTGTGTGTGGTTTTTAAAAATTTGTTACATCCTCGGTGAAAAACATAATTTTTACAGGTCAGGAAGTGATTTATAACAGTAAGAGTTAGAACATTTTATGTCAAACTGTAATTTTAATTTAGCCGTATATAAAAAGAATAAGTTATCAGGAAACAAAACATTTATATTTTAACATTTTTATTTTGTTGGTACTTACCGGCCGAGTAAACTAATCCTGCGAAGGACCCGTTGAAGCCAACTCTTATTTTCATATAGTCATCTTGACATTCGGCTTCAATATCTGTAAATTAGAATAAATTCAAGTTGTGTTGTGTTTTAGATAAAATTATAAAAAGTATTTAATACTTTTTTCAAGCGTATAATAATTTTCATATTATAAGACTCATAAGTCTATATAGAAAGACTTCATATTAATACTAGTTCAAAGTCAAATTATTATTAAATAGAGCTATACCCAGTAAATTTAAAAAGAAACGAAGAAAATTTGTAATAAAAACAATGCAAAAAATGCTAAAAATAATGTTAAAATAAATGCAAGATTTTGGATAGTTAAAATTTTAGATTATTAATTAGTGTTATTTAAATTAAGATTCTTATCAATTTAATAACTAAACTTTCACTTATTTGAAAAAATTAAAATCGCTTAATGCCTGAGATCACCCTGAGTGATAAAAAGCTATACATAATAACCGGAAAAAATAATCAAAATAATAAAATTCATTATTTTACTTATATTAGTAAATATAAATAACGATGTTTTAGATAGCAATTAAAGTAGGTTAATTGAAGTAAGTGAGTTGAGTTTGCTTTATCTGCTTAAGATATCTGCTGCTTTGGTGGTCACTTTCCAACAAACCGGCAGAAATTTACAATGTGTTTACGTAATCCTACGTATAAGTTATACATACAAATATTGTTTGTAATGTGCGAAGAATATTCTTACACTGAAAAAAATAAGCTGTTGAACAACAACAAAAATTTTAATTCAACTCTTTATGCACTTTAAATACAAGCAATGGTTTTTGCACGTTTACATAACCATCTAAAAATGTCAAATTGTATTGTTTAATTGAACAACAAATATTAGTCAAATGAACAAAATAAGAATATTTGTTTTAATCTGCTAATCTGGTTAATTAAACATTCTTGAATTGTCCAGGTAACCTTTTTAGCATATTCACTTAACACCAATAAAATGTTAAATTAAAATAATTTGCGCTAATGTTGGGTTAACATTCTGAAAATGTAAAAGTAACATTCTTTAAAGGTTGGTATTAAAAAAAAAAATATGGTATTAATATAAAGAGAAAGAATTGAACCTTCCCTTGCAAGAGTTTTTGTTTTGAGTGCGTTCCACCTACTTCAAATACCTACCGACAGACAGCTGATTCCACCTATATTGGGGGTCTTATCAATGTCGGGCAATTTTATAAAACACCATTACTGTTATACCAGTATTTTGTTATGGGTAAATCTCACGAAATGCCCCCCGATGGTGTTACCCCGTGATATTTAATAAAACTAAATGAGTTTGACCTACAATTTTATTGTGTTTTGATCTTTCATAATTAATAGATACTGCTCAGGTTCCAGATTTTTAACCGCAATTAATTATTTTTTACAATGTTTTAAAAGTCTAAAACCTATCCTCCGTGACGGTTACTCTTTCTAAGTTAATCTATATGTTTTCAAATATCTGGGGTAGTAAAAGCATACTAAAAATATCAGTTCACTAAGTAAATTAAACACATCCAAAGCAATCGAATCAAATATAAAATATAATTAAAAATTAAAAGAAATAATTTTTATAACCATTTATGTAGGTGTTACAAAAATTGATTATATCCTCCGTGAATCTGTTCTTGCTTTAAATTGTATGCAACGGATGTCGCTTTAATCATTTTAAATAAGTAAAAACCTCTGTTTACGACATTATAGATGCATGTGATTCCCGAAGGTCAGTTAGAATATATATGCAGATGAGAGTATTGCTGTTTTATAATTCAAAAGTTTAAGTTCATTAATTTGCTATTTAAAAACCTATCCACCGTGAAGTGTAATATCTTAGTAAGTAGATTTTTTTAATAAATATTTTATATATACATACATGTACAATTGTATTTTTTTTAAATATTAAGGTGTCAAAGGACAGCGCCGTAGCAACAACCCAACGGGCCCGGGTTCCAGGCTATACCCACGGGCCTCTAGGTGATTTTTGCCTATTACAAGTGTATTTTTACAACAGTTTTACCCAATAAAAAGTAAAAAACCAATCAATCATACTAAGCGTAAATAAAAATCCAGGCGCAAAGCGCGTCAAGGTAACGTGCGTCGTTGAGAGTCGCTATAGGACAGAGGCGAAATTTTCACAGCCTCGGATGCTCCCATTTACCTCTATAAAGCAAAAATGACTCACCAACAAAAATATCGCCGGAAGTTCGCGAATAAATACCGTAGATTCAGTCGTAGATGAGGCGAAATTCAGTTAGCTTGGCTTGTTGGGTGTTGTGGTTTTATCAAATGACCGATGATAATCGCTTGTGGGGGTCCGTCAATGGTGGGATGCCAGTGTTCTCTTAGCGTTTGTAGAGCACGTTATTGTTTTGATTCAGATTAGTTAAATTATTTAAAACTTTTGGCTGATCTTTTATAGTTTTTGTCTCGATTAGTAAAATTACTTATTTAATTATTGTAGGGAACACACTAAGGTAGATTTAGCAGTTTTTATTAAGAAAATTTTATATTTTCAAATAATAGATTGTATAATTCTTCAATGAGAGACGCGGTTTGAAAATTTAGAATTACTTTTAAATCTCACTGCAGACACACAATTTTACGACCAAATAATAGATAAATTTGCAATCTTAAAAGATAGACGTATAGATTTAATTTACAAAAAGTAGCTATAGTATTTTATATTTTTTAATACTTAGGTAGGGGTCGACTTTTTAGTTTTAGTTTTATTTTTTGATTAATTTATTTATTTTTAACTTTTTTAAGAATATATTTTTAAGTTTTAAGATTAAAACTAGTCTTTGATGTGATATTTTGTTTGTTTTGTTTTTTAGAGTTTATTTTTTATTTATAATGGTTTAGTAGGGCTATCGGCGATAACCTCCATTTTAAAAAAGGTCAACGCGTCGCAGAATAATACCTCCCGGGTGGAAATTTATTCGTATTTAGACAAAATTAACCTTATGTAGCCTCACCCTCCTGTACACCCACGAGCCGCCACTGACTTGATGTAATATCGGCCTCTTTTTTATATCTAAAAATTCATTCCGAAGTTTGCTTATGTCATTTAACACATTTTTTATAAGTTTACTAGATTTTTGGATATCTTGCTACTGATTTTGTCGATTTAAAATGTTAGATTGTAAAATAATCAAAAACACTGTTTCAAAGTCTCTAATGTACCTTAAAATCCTTTCAATTCGTCTATTTCAGCCTTATTATTGGATGTTAAAATAATTTTTGACAAGGCCTTAAGAACTGAAGATACCTAAAACGTAGGGCTTTATTGCATCATTGCGTGAAGACCAACGGGTTGTTGATAGTTTTTTAAGTTTTAATTTTGACTCGCTTTTACATGATTCAAGCAAAAATTATTATTTATTATTATTATTGGTGGTCTTTTACTATTTACCAAGCCTTAAGCCATTATTGTAAATAAATGCCCTGTAAATGTTGAAATATATTTAAAACAATTAATCCAAATATTTGAAAAAAAAAAATTGTTATTCCAATCGCTGGCCGCGGGCCCCTTGAGCTTGCGGGCCTGGTTCCACCGAACCCACGGAACCATTGTAGCTACGGCACTGTCAAAGGATAAAATAACTTATTTCAAATAGGTATACAAAGGAATGTTTAAAAAAAATACTAAATCCTGTGAAGCTATCTTCCGTGAATCTCTAATATTCAAAATGTATGATTTATTAAAATTCTTGCATAAGTGCAGAACCACTTATGTTATGTTATTACTAGACCTGGTGGCTTCCCAAAATCCCCATTATAGACTAACAGTCAGACAACCAAAAATAAAAAATAATCATTTTCACTCGGGGACATCTCAATATATTATATAAATTCAACCCAAATATTATGTTTGTATACATTGTGAAGAAGCTATAGTGTAGCAAAACAATTATTGTTGAATTTAGAATAATTTCCGAGGAACCCTTAACCAGGTTTGTTTTATCAAGTAAAGGTTAAAACAATTAGATGTTTGTTTCTTTTTTTCTTCTTTACTTACGTTGAACCCTGGTGTTGTTAAATCTAAATCTTCTAAATTCTCTATCCCAAGCCTCAATTGGTTGTTGCCATTCATCATCAGGAACAGATGATGAATCTCTTGTTCTTAATGCAGGAAGTGGGACATATCCAGAAGTATCACCTATGAAAACAACCTGAAAAATAAAAGGACATACTTTTATTACGGTACATAAAAAAAGTAATTTATGTGATTAGGCCAAAAAGTAAGTCTTTGTGCTGACCTGAAAGTTTTTTAAACCCAACTTAAAAAAAACTGACGTTGCAGTTCATAACCTATACTTAAAACTAAGTAAAAAACTTAGACTGTGGTGGGGAAGGAATCCTCTACTTTGTCAATGAAATAAACCTCATTTTTGTCTAATTAATATTTCATTGTTCAGCAAGAACCACGTAAAGGTGTAGAGGTAAAGTGCAGCATTATTAATATAACCATTAGGTTTAAGCCCTAATCATTAAATTAATAATAGTACACCATCAACAATATCGGTACAATTTCTCAGCGTAATATCCATAATGACTAAATTCACATAAATCACCAAGTTCAATTAACTAAACCCACAGAATAAACCACTTACAAAAGAATCATAAAAGAGACAAACTCATAGAAAAAGAATAAACAAAATATTGCGTAAATAACCACAGATTTGTTCTTTAAACAGTTCAGAATTTTATAACCAAAACAAACCTAAAGAAGGAATCTGTATTTATTTTATTGGTTACTGTGATGGCTACAAGATGGCGATAGTGTTAAAATATGTTTATTTTAAAATAGAAATATAATTTCGATTAAATCGATTTATTATAAGAAAAATAATACCATTTATTATTGAATTTTGAAAAACGTGTGAAGTATAATTTATCTGAAATTCCGCAACAGTGTTGCCACACGACCTGCTTATTTCCTTGGATGTAGGCGTGCCTGCCTCGCGTATGCTTATATGAGAGAAGGAGACAACTATGATATCGTATTGTAATAGAACGAGACAACAAGGCTAACGCCAATCGTGAGTCTAAATTAGTTCAGGCATGCTTCTGAGTCAATCATCTAGCTATTAATATTTAACTAATTAGTTTAAATTGCGGTAATTTTAAATTCAAATAAATAAATAATGTTAAATTCAAATGTTGCTGGGTATTCCACGTATAAAATCAATTAATTTTACTAACTATTTCACAATTCATGTAATCCAAATATTTAAAATTTATAGTATATTATAGAAAGTAAAATATTTAAATTATACTCAATTTTTTAATTCTCTATGATGAGGCACTGCCTCCCCTGCCTCCCCTGACGGGCCGCCACTGGTTTTCAGTACTTAATTGATGGTTGATTACTTGTTTATTTTAGTGGTTATCGGTTTTGTTTTAACAGTTTTTTATTATGAGAATTTGAATGGGGGGTTAACCCCCAAACCCCTCTTGCACACGGGCCTGGTAGGATAAAACTTCATTCGAAATAACTTTTATGTTTTTATGTTATTACAATTGATTTACACCATGGCCAAATAGAAAAAGCCAATTTGGGAAGTACCTAACAAAAATCTCCGTGCATCCTACTGTAGATATACCTACATAGGCTACAACAAAAATGTTTGAGGTTTTTAATACAATTTTAACCTATCATTAATAATTTATTTCCTCATCTTTAGTTAAAATTTAAACCTTTTAACTGATTTAATTTTAAATATTTATATAACCATAATAAGCATAATACAGTTTTAAATTTGTCAACTGTTGTTCGCCCAAATGGAAAAACGACCTAATCATAACGGTCTTGTACTCCTCTTAAATTCAGTAACTCAACGCAATTAAATAAATCGTGCTTTATTTTTTTTTCGTTCGTTTTAGTCTCGATTTACATAATTTGGCCGTGCTGACATGGAAATAAAGTAATTTGATGCAGTTAGAAATCCTAAATAGACCAAGTTAATTTTCGGGCCGCATTCAGCATGTTAATTCTCTTTAGGTTGATACAACTTATGTTGTGTTTTTTGAAAAATTACATAGTGATTTTAACAGCGGACAGAGTATGCTTAAAATTCCAGTTTAATTTTTGTTTTAATGTGCTTATTTTAAACTGGATTATAGGATTATAATATAATTTCCACATTTAGAAATATTTTACAATGGTACTTTATTTTGACAATTGTATGACATTTGACAACGGTCAACTATCTTAAAGCTAATTTTAGCCCTTGAATGTGACCTGTTGCTTAAAATTGCAATAAAATTTATATTCTAAAATTCATCAACATATGTCAACTAAGATAAAGTCATCTTACTTTTTTCAGTTTCTTAATAAAATTGTTTTCCCAAAAGCCTTTTACCTTGATACGACCCTGCTTGCTGCTTATGTAAATTATCTTTGGTCATCTCCAGTCTATCGTGAAGATTTTCATTGTTATTAAACTCTTTAAACGCGTGTTGTTGTTACCAATAATTGACATTGCCCAATAACGGACAGGATGCACGGTTTTTTATTTCTTTCGTTAACAGATCGAGAACATCAATGAATCTACTTTATTTTTAATTATTTAGAACGGGAACTATAAAATAATCTTTTGAAAAAAATTTAACATGTTAAATTTACAAAAGGTGTAACCAATTTTTATTGCCAAATTGTACATAATATAATTATAATTTCTTTTTAATAATAAGTTGACCAGAATTTAAAAATATCCTTCCAAAAGAAAAAAGATCATATTAAAAAATTTTAACATAAATTTGTTTAATTTTTTTACAAATAGTTTTGACTTGAATATATTTTTTTACATTTTCGTTGGATGCTATTAATTCAGAATAGTTTGGAATAACGTACTCTCTAAAAATGAATTAGTCAAAAACCACTAAAAATAACTAATTGTCATAGAGAAAAAGCAGCCACTAATAATTCTTTGTCAATAGTAATTTGTATCCTGAACATTTAGCAGTCAATTTCCATGTAAGTTTGTCCCTATATCTCAAAAACTGCTCTACTTTCATAATTTTTGGCGGTATTTTTGGATTTGGCGAATTGGCTATTGAGGATACCATTGTATCTCATGGTAGTCATTTTTGACTAATTCATTTTTAGAGAGTTAATTCTGCTCGAATGAAAAGTTTGTCACACGAGCCGAAGGCGAGTTTGACGGTTTCACGAAAGCGGAATATGCAATTCCAAATTTGTTTCAAACTATACTATTTTTACGTTTCTAAAAAATAACATAAAAAAATAATTTAGAAAGTGAGGTGGGATCTGTCTAAAACTTGTTAGATAATAAGCACAGAGATGGCGTCTCGAGTGTTTATTCCCTCATCCGATGATAGAATAATTCATTCTTTAACACTTTAAGAAATATATGTAATTCCACATTAAAAATTGATGTTAGAACGGTCATATTCCGTAATAGAAGAAGAAAAAAATTATTACGTTATCCAAATATTAAGCTTGACTACTGTCATTGCAGAACGGAAAGACCTTTGTCAAAATTCAAAATTTTTTTTCAGATTGTCACATGGAATATATTTTTCTCCAAAATAATTAAATATTTTTAGCCATTTTTGTTTTAGAAAATCAAAATATAAGACTATAAATTATTAACTACTTCAGCCATGGGGGACATCTATTAATTACGTGAGTTATTTTCTAATAATTTGGATTTTTCATTAACAAAATTGAATTATAAACTCAAAAGTTGACGAGGGATTTTCAATGACCCCCTTCATTAAAATGAGATTTGGTGAGATTTTGCTAGACCCCTTCCCCCATTTTTATCTCAAGTAATTAATGGATGTCCCCAGTGCCGGTTTAACAGGGGTTTTTTGGGGACTATAGCACCGGGCGGTAAATATTTTTGGGGTGGTACCGCGTACCGCCCATAATTTAAAAAAAAATACTTAATCGTTGGAATTTAGAAAAAAAATTATTGCGACACTGCGTCGGCGGATACAACGGATAAAAATGAGAAAAATGTTGTTAGAGTTGAAGCAGCTTCTCCATCAGAAAAACTTGATTTATTGGAAACAGAATAATTTTAACTTTTTGGATAGACGTTTTGCAAAGGGTTAATGAAACCAATAAAGCAGTCCAAAAACAAAATATGGATTTAAGCACAAATGCTCATCTTTTTTCATTTTTAGTTGAGAACTTTGATTTTTTACGTGATCATTTTGATCATTACGAGGAAATTAACAGGAAACGAAAATTATGCTCAGAAGCTTATAATCATAAGAAAATTACAATTTGAAGAAAATAATTCAGAGGCAAGTTTAAGCAAAAAAGAAACAGTGCGAACAATATGTTTTATTTTAATAATTGACAATATATAATCCGAAATCATTTGTCGATATGATAGCTAGAAATCTGGCACAAACAAATTTTTTGTTTAATCTAAAAGCATAAATCTTCGTGGAGGATTTGGATGAGTTTTTTCCTCAAAAATGTATCCAACTCAAGAAACTGGTAACTTCCCTTTCGGAAATAAAAATAGAAACTCCATTGGAATTAGTATAAGTTTTATACGAAAATAAATTAATATCTTCATTTCCGAATATTAATATTTGTCTGCAATTTTTTTTTAATAATGGTTTCAAATGCAAGTGGTGAACGATCTTTCTCTACTCTAAAAAGGGTAAACAACTACCTAAGAAATACAATTCCCCAAGAAAGATTTAACTCCTTAGCAATTTTCAAAAAAACTTTTTTTATACATAGTTCAAAACGCAACAAAATTTAAAATTATTTTTTAAGTAATCCTCCTGAAAACACAATCGAAATGTATTTGATAGTTAACAGGGAAAGAAAAGAGAAAACTCTTACTTTTGTTCTGAGTGTTAGTTTAGTTAGTTCTTAGAATATTTTTATTTTATTTTTATTTATGTGTACAATTAAAACATTACATTTTCAAAATTAAGGCACAGTACAATTTCCTTTGGAAATTAGGTGCAATTAAATACCTTATTAAAAAAAAACATGTATAAAACAAAATTGTCTGTAAATTTTTGGTACAATAAATTTATTATTATTATTATTATTATTATTATTATTATTATTATTATCCATTTATCAAGACTTGCTAGATTAAATAAATGTAAAGTGTTATAAAACAATTTGCTACTATAAAGACTTGAAAACAACCTTTTAATTATTAGTATTAGGATTTCTTAATATTTATTTAAACCAAAGAATAATGTTTTATTTATTTATAACTTTTGATTAGTTTTTATTAGTTTAATGAAACAAAATATTAAACTTCTATTTTTTAATTAGTTTTTCTTAGTATTTAGTATTGTCTATATAAACCAAAAAATGTTTTATTTTTTAGTTAGTGCTTTTGATTAGTTTTTATAATTTGTTTATAAAGGCTCATTTTATATTTTATAGGATACTAAGTTTACTGTTAGATACCAGCCTAACCAACCTAATCTTTCACTTGACGTGAGAAAGTAAGACTTAAAAATTTAAAAATGTTTTTAAAAAAGTAATATTTTAAAGCATTGGGCGTTGTGTTTGTGCCAGAACCGGGCAGCGAACTAACTTAAACCGGCACTGCAGTGGATGTCCCCATGGCCCATGGCATGCCATGGCAGTGGAAAAGTGAAACGCACAAAAGTGGTGTCATCTATCAGCCCTTGGCCGTATTTGATGGTTGTTAGTATAACTTGTTACCCATAGTGCAGAACCACAAAAATATTTGTTAAAATTGTTAAAAAGCAGGAATAATGGTGTTTTTATCATTCAAAAGGAGGACAAACGAGGACACTATCATTGAGGAGGGCAAACCTAATTAAAGGACTGTCCTCCTTAAAGAAGGACGTCTGGTCACCTTATAATATATTGTTATAAAAATTAGTTAACCTTCTTTAGAAAATAATGGTAAAAACGGACAAAAAACTATTAAAAACAATACAAAATCCCAAACAAATATTACAAGAAAGAGTGAAATAACTAATTAAAAAAGTCGATTAAAATGGAAAATCGCAAATATTAGGATTTTCTTAAAAAAAAATAGAAAAAATTTTTTTGTTATGTTATCATATTTTTAAACACATAAAAACTATAAAAAAACCTTTTTTCTTTTTTGTTTTAAATAAAAAACTCGAATCACGAAACTAAACCAATCAATTTATTATTACAAAGGAAACGAAAGACTTTTTTAAAACGCCACTAAGGAAACCTCTTCGTGTTATTCTTCTTCTTCTTCGTCTGCATGATGATTCGCCACAATAGGAAATCATCGTTCAACACAACAAAGACTAGATCAGAAAACAGATGGGATAAAATCCATCACTTACCGAATCTGGTTCACTGGAGTCGTGAGACAGCGCCTCTCGCGTGCGGTTCGTGTCTTCTTCGACACCGCCATCTTCAACGCCAACTCCGCTATCCGGCGGCGACACCGTTGCCAAGGTTCTCTCCAAGCCGAAGCCAACTTTGCTGTTCGCGTCCTCTTGCACTCCCACGCTGGTGCTACTACTAACACTGTACTCGACGGCCGTCGTGTCCTCTATCCGCTGCTGGCACTGGCACAGCTAGAAAATGACCATGTGTTACATTTTTATTAAATTATAAAATTTGTTGTGTTTCACGTCAGTTTTAGTGTTTACATTTGTTTTAAAACCCTATTAATAAAACCAGCTTTATAAAACCGACTATTCCACTCATTACTTTATGGACCAATCATATTTGAGAAAACAAGTGGTTTTAGTTTTGCAGCGATAAAACTACTATTTAGGTGACTATTTCTCTCGTCTTAATTTCCACCAATCACAAACGCGCAATTTTGAATTACAACTGGTTTCTAGGTGGAAAAACTGTGTGACAGCACCTGTCAGCAGTTTTTTCGAGTTTACCAGCGGCAAAACTTGACAGCTGTTGTCACCAAAATTTATATTTTAATTGTTAACTGTTACTCATGAAATAGTCTTGTCAAATACCATTCGGGCATCTATTTTTCCTGTGAAAAAAATCGAAAAAAGACAATGCTAAGTAATATTTTTTAACAAACGTTTTTAATTTTAAAATTAAATTGTTAAAAAATATGCGTTTTGGTCAAAAAAATCATACAGAAATTGAATCAGCAGTTAAAAATATTCGTGAAATAGTCTTGCCGAATACCACGTGTGATAAAATTTTCACTAGTAATACCACTAGAGGTCAAATTATTTCCGGAAATTTTTTCGAGCTCATGAATATTTCGAAAATTATCCCGAGTCGAAGACGAGGGATAATTTTCTAAAAATATTCATGAGGGAGAAAAAATTTCCGGATTTAATTTGACCTCGTGTGGTATTCGGTAAGAAAATTCCACACCAAATTGTGTTTAAATAATTAAAATTTATTTTTTGATTTAACTTGACCTCGACTTGATTATTTAGTTACCATGGCAACTAAGTCAATCCCAACCTAAAAGTTATTTCAATTTTGAAGCTGTCAAGCGGCACGACGTAAAAAAATGTGAAATTTTCTTCTGTAATGATCAATCATCGTGCAATGACTTATTTACCCGCATTATTAGAGGATTGTGGCTCCTTCTTGAAGAAAGAAAATTTGTTTTGAATTGTTCACGAATATTTGCATCTTAACTATTCAAAACTCAAAGTGCTAAATGGAAAAAAAGGTGAATAGAATAGTGTCTAAATATTATATATATTTCATTAGACATAGACATTTAATTTATTTCAATTCCTGCATTTTCGCCATTAAGAAGAAAGGAGGTGTCCAACGAATATAGAAAACATCTAAACTTTGTAATGGAAATGTATCAAAATTATCATGTAAACAAATAAAAACCAGATTGTCAAAAAAATATTCTGTCATTATAAACGTCAAAAAATTTCCAGTATAATTCGCTGTTGGGTACCCACGAGGAAAAAATTTCCACTAAAATTCAACCGTTGCCATGGTGATCTATCAAAAATACACGTTTTGATTGGTTAAAAATTACAGGTGTGGAATTTTCCCTGATAAAATTTTTGATTTTTATTTACTCAAGATTTTTCCTTGAAAATTTCGCTCGTGGCATTAATTCCACTTGCGAAATTTCCAAGGAAAAAACATTCGTATAAAAATCATTACCAATAAAATTTTACCACTAGTGTTATTATAGAAAATAAAACCAAAAATATGGCTGTTATTTGCGAATTCACCCCTAAATCCAAGATCGCCGAATATCTGCAAAGGGTTGATGGTCAAAAACTTAAATTTAAGCTTCTTATACAGTACCCTAACAATCTTAAAACAAAAATTGTTACCGAATGATTTGAAAAAATAAAACCTAAATATACTGGACTAAACGGTATTGGTATATGTATTCCAATTTATAAGGTTTATTTAAAGCTTATTAAGGTTAATTAACCAAAATAAACAAACAAAATATTAAAAAACTAATAAAAATATTCCCGAACCCAACACAAGCAGATACATCAAGTACGTGTCATAACACGTCTATAGACGTGTATAGTATACACTGTATACACTTTGACCTTTGTGGAGGTCATTATAGGCTATGTGGGAATCGACTTGGAATACTTAAACCTTTAAACTACACACAAAAATTAAAATAAAAATGGTCTTTCTTGAGAAAAAATATATGCTCCGCTTTAGGTTTCCACGGGCGTTATATGTAATGATGGTTTTCCGGGATCTGCTCCGTGTTGTCGGTTTTTGGTTCTTAAAAGAACCGTATGTATGTCTGACGACGTTTCGGTACAATCACGTGTAGTATCTTCAGGTATAATCTGCTGGGTTGCTGTTGCTGCTCTGTTGCGAGTTCACGTCTTACTCGCAGCAGAGCAGCAACAGCAGCCCAGCAGATAAGACCTGAAGTTGGTACATGAGATTGTACCGAAATGTCGTCAGACATACGGTTCTTTTAAGAACCAAAAACCGACAACAAGGAGCAGATCCCGGAAAATCACCAATACATATAACGCCCAAGTTTGGTCAAAATCGCTGATGTCGAGGCAGATAGGTGGCAGGTTTGGCGTGTTTTGCTTTTTTTTAATATTTTGCGAATCGCGGGCTTTTTTTAAATTTATAAATTTACTTTTAATAGGCTTTATACTAATTTAACAGACCTTGTAACTCTTTGAATAAAAAAATACCCATATACCCAAGTATACACATAGAAGGATACTTGGTGCACCCTGTATAATATATTGGTTTTTATTTAGTACTTGAATAATATTAGATAATAATAAATTAAATGAAATAAATAATTTTATGGTTAAAAAAATATTTTTAATAAAAAAATATCGAAAAATAATATCCAAGTCCCATCGTCCCCATTGTCCATAAATATCTAAAGTTGTTTGATTAAAACGATTGTATAATTTAAACCATTCCATAATAGTATATTATGTATCAAGTTTTATTAACGCCATTTTATTTACGAGTTTTATTAGGCCAGAGCGAAGTTTGCGAGCGAGTGTTTAATAAAAAACAGTGTCTGGAGGAGTTTATAAAACGAGTTGCATACTAAACTTTATCTACGACGAACAGAAAGAAGAATTTAAAGCCAATTTTATTTGTTAAAAATTTGACATCTTAAAGGATTAACCTCGCTTTTTTCCAATTTATAATAAAGATAACTTCAGCCGTGAGTAAAATGCCCAAAAGCAACTGTTGCTAACTTCAGCCCGTGATTAAAACGCCATAAAGTCAAAGCTTATTAATGGGGGATAAATATTATATAATATACCTATAAAAGGTAGCTGAATTATTGGCAGAAAGAAGTCTTCTGACATATTGTACTTAATTAAAAAAATTGTTATTATAGAAGGTGTTCCACTGAAAATATTTTAACTATTTGAGTAATTCTAATAAGATTTAACTTAGAGAAGTCTGATGGGTTTACTGAAAAGTGCTATTTTCGGTCCGCGCTTTTTTAAAGAAATCTAATATTAAAAAATTATAAAAACCTGCAATATCATTTCAAATATGACTTGGAAGGTCAACTTACAAGTATTTTTTACTGCTAATGAAAACAATTAAAATGCTTTTAGGATTCTTTTATTTTACGATTTGATTTGTTCGACTTTTATTGCTGTCTCGTGCGAAGAAATAATAATGTACAGTGTCAAGGCCGATTCGTCCATTTATTTTTATATATAATTTCTTTTACGTTTTTTTGTCAGTACCTACGTCTGTCAAATGGGTTATAACTTTTTTTTTAATGGATTTCATAAAAGCCTTAATGGGAAAATACCACTACACTAGTTTACAAATAATTAAATAAAAATGAAAATTTAGTGCTGCTATACTTTTCCTATACATTTTGTAGTAAATGTTTTTGGAATAAAAATGAATTAATTAATTAGGTAATTTTTTTATTTGTTTTTCGAAGGCGGCTTTACAATTTTACTGTGTCTCATAGATTATCTATGATAGATATGACACTAATTGTAAATAAATGAAAAAAAAATAAACGAAAACCTATCCATACTTTTATTACGATTTTTGTGTTTAGCAAGCCAAAGTACAACATAAAAAAGGTGGTATAAAATGTAAGTAAGTAAGTTTTGTAATCCAGTGTAATAATTACACTAGTTTACAAAATCGAAAATAAAATTCTGCCCAAGATATCCCATTAAAATTTTTCCATGTATTTTGACCCACTTAACACGAAAATCACACTCAATTTTTTTATGGAAATATGAATTTTCAATTGTTTTTTTTTCAATTTTCAGAGGTGTTTTAACGTTTTTGAGTATAGCTTGAAATCTAATTGATCGACGGTGGTCTAGTGGTTAGTGCTGCTGACTACAAGCCGGAGGTCGTGGGTTCGAATCCCACCAGGGGTATGGCTGTTTATTTGTGTTGTCCTATTATGTAATAGTCCTTCGGAGGGGACTTTAAGCCCGCGGTCCGTTCCTACCCCTAACCCGCACAAGCCATTCAGTTGGCTTATGGGACTTCTTAAGAAGTAAGGGTGGAACTAAAAGAGCACTTTTGTAAATAAACTTTTGATTTGGTCAAACAAGCTCTTAAATTGAAGGTATTTTAGCCCTCTAAAACTTTTTTTACATTTTGATATCGGATAAGTATTTTGACGCTAGCGATTTTAATAACTTAAAAAATTCGTTTTTGTGGCAAAAATGGAGGTCGAAAATTTACATATCGTCCTGGGAAAGGTTTAAATTAAACAGATAACTCCAGTTTGAATTTTTTTCGTGAAGCTGATATTTTTACAAAAAAAAACAAGCTAATGTTGATAAAAATACAAGGAAAAATGGCGAAGTCATGAATTTTTTAGACCAAAATTCAGCTTTTTGACGATTTTTATTTTATTTTTTTTTCTTTTATTTTGTAATATAAAACCCTAAATAAAGTGCATGATTGGAATTTTTTACGTACTTTTTTCACCGAAAACATTATTCAAAATTTAAATTTGACATGACTCCGCAAACGTGAATTCTTTTGTTTCTCGTGTTGGCATAGTGACATTTTACTGATATTTTTTGATATTTCAACAAGGTATTTTTATCATGGTTTTATTTAGTAAATAAAAATTGTAAAATGAGTAAAAGAAGTAGAGAGTTCGAGTTCGTAAATAACCCGCACAATCTGGGCGACGTAAGGGTATGGAGCGGCGGTATCACGGCTTCTGGGATGCAGCCATGATGGGTGATTAAATTTGGTCCCTCATACGAGAAAAGGAATACGAAAGCAACATAAAAAAAAGAAGGAGTCAAATTTTTTTTAAACCTATGCTTATTACAACAAAATAAAACTTTCAATTTCTTCAATGTTCAATATTTATTGTTTAATATTAATATTAATATTTAATGTTTAAAATAAAAATCAATGTTCAATATTAAATTTTATATAATTCAATAAAATGAATAAAAAACATAAAAATTCTCGAAAAACTGAATTTTGGTCTTCCAGTGAAAAATTCATTACTTCGCCATTTATCCATAGATTTTTATAAACAGCAGCTTATTTTTTTCCTTTAAGTATAATCTATACGTAAAATAAATCAAACTGGAATTATCCTTTCGATTTCAATCTTGCCCAGAAAGATATGTAACTTTTCGACCTTGATTTTTGTTAAAAAATGCTTTTTCAACTTCATAAAATCGCTAGTATCGAACTACTGAGCCGATACCAAAACGATATAAGAGAACATTGTAGAGGTCTCAATTACCTTTGATTTAAGTGCTTGTTTGGTCAAATCGATCAATTAGAACTAGTATACTCTATAACGTCAAAACACCTCAGAAAATTTAAAAAACAATTGAAAACTCATATGTCGAAACCTCTTCCATGAAAAATTTTAAGTGTGATTTTAGCGTTTAGTGAGCCAAACTACACAAGAAAATCTTAACCATAACTAGTGTTATTATACAGATTGTAGACAATTTGTTTATTAAAAAATACTTACTTTTGGCAATGAAGAAATTAAAAATCCTAATAGTATTGCATACCGCCACCTGAAAAAAAATAATTGAGTTAGATTAATTAAATACTAAAAATACTGAAAATAAATGCAAAAAACCCAGAAATCATTGAAAAGAGACGTCAGTAAATGCTTCCATAATATAGAAAATTTAGATGGATTGAAAAAAAAATTATAAAAATGTTCAACATTTAACCAAAAACAGGTTAAGTAACTATAGTTCCTATAGGAACAACTGTTTAAAATGATTTTTGTGATGAGCTTAAAGTTCGAACGCCGACGCTTAGCAGAGGAACGAAGGCCAAAACGACACTTCCCGAATGGCATACAACATTTTATCTTCAATAAACAATTTTATTTGTTAAACGATACAAATAACATACAATTATAATAAAAATTATTCAAAGAAGACAGTGAGGTTAGGTAGATTTGACAGTAGTCGAATTTTTTGATTGGTTTAAACGGGTTTTTAAGAGCTAGTAATGCTTTAATGCTGTAATGCCAGAAAACGTCTTATACACTGTTATAAAAATAGGATTTGTTAACATGAGTTTGTGTTAGTTTTGTAAAGGTAAAATGCAATTTGTTAATTTTAACGGTTACAGATTATTTTGTTAATGTTTAACAAATTATTCCGTTGAAAAAGTACACGTGATTTCAGGCAGCCAATCAAAACATTTCCAACACTTATCAACAAGTTGTGTCAGCGTCAACGGGTGTTTATAATATTTAACGGTGACCGGAGTGTTTATAATGTCATTATTGGTTTTCAAATTAAAATTGGGCGATACAGTGAAGTTAAAGTAAATTAGTAAGTGTTTTAGTAGTACTGATAGTTATGTTGTACCAAATTTCTATATAATCTGATGATTTCAGAATGGTGTTTTATTTCATTTTGTGCATGTTATTTTTGTGTTAATTTATGTAGGTATGTGTTAATTATGTTTTATTTAGAAAATTCTTTAATAAAGCAACATTTCTTATAACAAATTCTCTTTTGTTAAAGTTACCAATTTACAACAAATAATTTTGATACGGGGTCTACATAAAAGTTTGTAAAAAATACAAGAATTATATGAAAATTGACATGGAATTTTGTTATTAATAAGTTATAATAATAAGTTATAATAATAACAAAACAGAACAATAATACAGTTGGTTGTAAACTTAACAAAAAGTTATGTGGACCTGTATTAACATAAAACCATGGTTATTATTTGGATAAAATTAACAAGTATTTTTTTACTGTGTACTATTTTTTCTATTTGCTAACATTTAATAATATCGACTTATTCTGCAGTTTTTAGTACCTACCAAATGTAAAGTAATTTGTAAAAAAATCCCCTATCTATAAATATAAATTTGCGAATCGTAATGAGGTATTATAAAACGCAAATGCGTATCATTATGTGGCTTATTATGTAAAACAATTTATTTCCTTAAATGGATACTTATTGGCAATAATTTTCAGTTAAATTATTTGAGGGTTGATTCCTTGTGAAAATCCAAGACAAAATTTCCTTTACTATTTCGCAAAATTGCGGGGGTTATTTCATTTTTAAGGCCCCCAGTGAGGGTGTCCTAAAATCGGTAGCATCACTATATTGGCGCCCCAAAGGTAAAGGTTAATTCCTCTTGAAATTTTAAGACTATATATTAATTTTTATTAATTAATTATTTAATTAATCCCGGCGCATTCGCCATTTTTTGCGTACGCAGATAGCTTTTGACGCGGGACGGAGCCTGCGTGTTAGCACCTAGTATTTATACACAATATAGATGCATATCGAGAAAAACAATTTTTTCACTAAATCGCGAAAACAAGGGCTGATTGAGCAAAATCATGGTCATGTTTGGTTACCCTGGAAAAGTTAATATCGACACTAGTATATTAAAGAACTAATGTACGACAAAAGGTCTTATGACATGAGTTCTTTATGCTATTTTATCCATTTTGCAAATTTCCATAAAAAAAATTATTTTATACCTTAAATTTAATTTGGTCGAATTTTACTTTAGATAATTGGTATGACAGTAATTGGTTTGACAGTTAATGTCAAAATTGATTCGCCATGCTGTCCTTAATTTACTTATTTACAATAAGCGGCTGTTAATGATAAAGAAGAAAAAAAGGATTTTCTTTGGTGTTAAACAAAATTTATTGCCAGAAATATTATAACCAAAATGCAAAATATTATGCTGTTTAAAGTATAGAAAACCTATAAAATCAAAATTTTGGGTGGGATAAAGAATCTCATTACAGCATTAAAGCGGTGTTAAAATGAAGTCATTATGAACGAAAAATAGATCAAACTGTTTTAATAAACGGAGAAAACTATTTTCTTAAACTATAGCAGCTATTTTTATACTATTACTAAATTACAGCTTGGATATTTCCTCCAAATAATTATGTTTTAACCTATGAGACTGATAATCATTACTAAACACCAAAAAGGGCTCACTCCTGAAATAGCCACGCTGTCCCCAATTTAGTTATCATTCCTTAACAATGTAACAATAGCTACCAAATTTAAGAAAAGCGTTTTTCCGTATTTCTACCGTAAAATAATTATTATAATTATATGCTTGATCCCGGTAATTTTTTTTTGTCAAGGGTTATATAATTTAAGTTTTATTATTGTCAACGCTTACTACCAAAGTATTTGATTATCTCCTAGGCTGTACAAATAATTTGCATCAATCGAATATAGTAATTAATGTCATAAGGTTGAAAAGTGAGTCTTTTTGTGCTGGGCTCAAAGTTTAAATGCCGACCCTTAGGGAACGCCTACAATTAATCGAAGAAACTTCTCAGCTACATACAACATTTTATCCTCAAGGCATATTTTTATTTGTTAAACGACACATCTAACGTAAAATAATAATGAATATTAAGAGTACAAAGTAGATAAGATAATATCATATTATGATAGTAGTCAAATTTTTGTATTGGTCTAAACTATTTTTTTACAGGCTAGGACGTAAAAAACTTTACCCGATTGGTCTAAATTAGGCTAGAAGATTTTAAGAAGGTTTGAAAGGTATGAACGTTTTTCAGTTTGTAAAAAGGTTTTTTGGGCCAATAAAAAAACTCGGCTACTTTTTCTATCTAACCTTACTTTAAATAATTATTTTTATAATTGAACGTTTTATTTATCATTTAACAAATAAAACTGTGCCTTAAACACAAAATACTGTATGGAATTTGGCTTAGAAGTGGCTTTTTGTGCTTCGCAATTGGGGCCACCGCTATTCGTCTTCCTTTAAAGTTTAAGCCCAGCACAAAAAGACTCACTTATAACATAAATAACTAATACAGGCCGCGCGTTATAACTTGGCGAAGCATGCTGGCATATTGAACAAATAGCCAAAAAAATTGTATAAGTAAATATTGAATACGCGCCACTGCTTTGCCAAACAAGTGTTAAACTAAACTTGAAGGGCGGTACCATTACGAAATTACGTCAACTATATAGTTAGGGAGCTGGTGGAAGAAATTTTTAAGTCATTTGCTCGCGTGACAGAAGTTGAAAATAATGAAGTTTGGATTATAAAAGTCACTAATGACAACTTGTGCCATACCATTATTGCTGCATTATTAATTCGTAGGTAATTAAATATGTAATAGTTATTTGCTTTACAAGTGTTGAAAAGCGACTTTTTCATGCAAGTGTTTAAGTTGCTCACGAGGCCGTTAGGCCGAGTGTGCATTAACACGAGCTTGAAGTAAGCTTTTCTCACAAGTGAAAAACAATATTTTTTTTACGACTCTTTTATTTTTTATTATTTTTAAATACAAAACAAAATAACCTTAAAACGTGTTTGACAGCTGTTAAAATTCCTTTCATCTTATTCTTTTAATTTTTAAGGTATAAGTTACTTAAAATCAATAAACATACCTTCTCAATTTAAATAAAGGCACTAAAAATTAGAATTTAGTATACAAACACAATTAACTGTGTCCTAAATGATATTTAGACAAACATATACAAATACAATACAAATTTTTAAACGAATGTCAAACGATGCTGTCAATTTCTTTTCACACAGAAATGTCACTATACATTTGTGTTTGGCCTTGCCAATGAAAAGATTCATTTGCTAAGCAACAATGCCATTATGAAATGTGATTTTTACATGGTGGTCGTAGAAAAAAAATGTCCTTAAGTCATTTGCTCGCGTCTGGCATTTTTTTTAACTTGAAGTCCCAAGACTTTCAGATAAATATCATCGCCAGACGTGTATGTCTCTGCATTAATGAGTATTTAATTGTTTTTTTAAATTATGATACCTATATAAAAATTTAAGTAATTTGCTCGTCAATAAAATTTATACTAAATGTTAAATGGGTCATAAAAAAGCAAAAAATAAATGTCTGCCATTTAATGTTTGCTGCGATAATGAACGAAAAAGTTCCAAAATTGTAAAAAAAAATGAATATTAAGTTATTTGCTCGTGTCTGTTGTATGTCAAAACTGTGAATATAACTATGCCAGACATGAGTATCGCTGATTTTTTATAGCCAGAAAGCTTTTAGGTGAGGGTAGGAATTTTGGGAAAAGGCTATACAAGCGTTTTTTTTTACTTAAAATTTTTAAGGTCATGAAATCATGCGATCTTTCGATTTCCCAAGTTTGGCGACCCTCAGTTACATATTTTTTATATTGTTTATGTATTTTTTTTAACCTATTATACGCAATTAAATACAGGCAAAGTCAAATTGGATATTTTTTGGTATGGTAGCTAAAAAAGCAAAGATAATGGTATTATTTTTATTACACTTAACATTACTGTTTACCATAATGTTGTTTTAATAGAGTTCACAAAAGCAGTTAGTTCATTAAAAGGACCCAGAGATTACACAGTATTCAAGTTTAAAATTGCTCTTCTGAAAATTTAAGTTTTTTGACTTTGCTCGTTTTTTCCCTGGCAGACACGAGGAAAATGATTTAGGCTAGGTATTATTTTTTACAATTTTAAAAATTATTTGTTGCAAAAAGCAGAGACATACATATGTATGTCTAGACATATGTC